CGGACTGAATGCGGAGTTTGTTTGACTTGGTGGTGCTGAGCGGAGACGTTTTCTTTTGGCGGAGGACTGGAAGGAATGAGACGGTCGGACTTTGCGGCACAGCTCCGCCCGCTCCGCAGTAAAGTCCGCCCTCCGCTGGAGGTCGAGTGGTTCCGAGCCTCCGAGCGCGAATCCTTCCTTCCGCTAGTCCAAGAATGGGGGTCAGTTGGAAGCCGGATTGGTGTTAGTCGTGACGAGCCACAATGGTACCCTCGAGCTATGTCGGGTGCCCTTGGTACAGTGCCGATCGGACATGCCTGTTTTTGACTCTTGTTTCTGGGACTTGGATATGGGTTTCGGTGTGCTCATCTGTGTGGTAAGCCAGCCGAGGTGTGATTGTCCAAGGTGAGACCCCCGAGACCCCTTTTCCACACTTACACGGCTCAGCTGCCCTGGCGACGTCATCAGGCCAAAACAATGCAAGTCCATCTACTCGCTCACCAGAAACCACTGCATTTTCGGCGCAACAAGATCTCCCGCCGGTGAAATGGCACAGCCCGAGTTTCTCACTCAACTCCAAAGATTGCGATCGTCATTATTGACCAGTTCAAGCTGCATGTGGCCGCGCGTGCACCTCACTGACCATGGACGATGGAGGTTATAAACCCACGATGGCGACGACCATGAGTGTCGATTAAACACAAACAAACAGCTCTAGCAACAGCCTGGAACCGCAAACTCCTCTCGCCACAACTACTACCACCACCACCACTATAATGTCGTCTAACAAAATCGTCCTGGTAACCGGCGCCAACCGCGGCCTAGGCTACGCGATCCTCCAAGTCGCCGGCGCACGCAACCCCTCAACAACCTTCATCCTCGCCAGCCGCGACCTCGCCGCAGGCCAACAAGCCAAAACCGCCCTGGAGCAAGAAGGCATCCAAGCCAAAATCGACGTGCTCAAGCTCGACGTGACCAACGACGACGAAGTCCTAGCCGCCGTCCAGCACGTAGCCACCAAGTACGGCCACCTGGACGTGCTCGTCAACAACGCGGGCATCATCTCCGTCATCCCGGACCGGACACTGCCCACCCTCCGCCGGTGCATGAACGACATGCTCAACGTCAACGTCACCTCCGTCGGCATCGTCACTACGGGGTTCACGCCCCTGCTGCAGCAGTCTACTCATAAGCCGCGCGTGATTAATATTACTTCCGGGCTGGGGAGTATCGCTAATACCCTCGCCAAGCCCATCACGCGGTACCCTCCCTACGGGGTGAGTAAGGTTGCGCTGAATGGGGTTACGGCGCATATGCAGTCTATTGAGAATGATCGCGCGGCTAAAGCTGGGGAGGCTGGGGGGGCGGAGGGGGGTGCGCATATTCGGTTCTTCTCTGTCGCGCCGGGGCTGTTGAAGACGGCGTTTACGAATTTCAATGAGAATGGGCTGGATGCCAAGGAGGGCGCTGAGGCGGTTGCGAGGTTGATTGCGGATGACGAGGGGAAGTTTGTCGGGGGCGCGCAGTTGGAGTGTGTGGGCGGGGAGATGAAGACGGTTCCGTGGTAGGTTTGTTGTCAGGGTGTTTCTTTGGGTTGGTTTCTTTTGCTTGTGTTGGTTATTGGCAATCAACTTGCCAGAGCAAACAGTCAGAGGTCCCACGGGCAGGGTTGGTGGTTTAGACTACCCGGTACAGGCCATGTTGACTTCAATTCTCACTTTCCAGTGGTCATAACCTGCCAGATGGGTGTAGCTACCGTCAAAACCATGTAGTCAAGCGGCCCATTCAAACCTTGGAAGTGCAGGTAGGTACTTGGGTACCTGATTTACCTGAGTCAGTTAGCCATGGACAGTTGGACTTCTTTCTTTTATTCGGGCATCTAGGGCCTAGACTAAGTCTGACGCGAGAGACGGATGTGAGCTTAGAAGAAAAGCCTGTCATTATCAAATCTTTAAGCATCTAACTGAACTTGACGGTGATTACAAACTAGGTAGGATATGTGGCGAACGGCATCCCAATATTGAATATAATTTATGTTGCTACCTCTAATCAACGGTGTCTTGATCAGTACCAACGGTAACATTAAAGGCACTGAGCTACAAGTTAAGATTATTGGTTTTGTTTTTAATACAACACTCAACCCAGAAGAGAGGGCGGGTGTCGGATGGTGAATTCAAGTTGACATGGCTGGGGCTGTGGGCTGGTTTGAACTCTTGTCGGATTCTCAATGACATCATGGAAAGCGAATACAAACACTGCGTTTCAATTTCTCGACTCTTGAAGGACTAATCGAACAGAGACAGGTGAATGAGCGAGTGAATGTTGCCGTGTCGGCTTCTCCTTTTCCCCGTCGGGATGACCCGTTTCTGGCCCGACTCCGCTCCGGAGACTCGGAACGTCTGGAGTAACACCGTGTAGCACACTGGATTATCATGGTCTCAAAGGCGGCGCCAGACGGGGAGTTAATCACTTTTCAACTAAACAAGCCGCCCCTTTCATCACTCTGCTCGACTTTCACAACATAGAATGGCTTCACAGAGAACAATTACTCCGTAACTCCATCCCTGCGTATATCCGCCCCTGACCAAAACACAACTTGAACCTCATGATGACCTTCCTCGATAGTACCCTCATCCCACCCCTCCTGATTCTTATCGCCACCCTCCTCTGGGTACGCAAACTCTACCGCGACCACCAATTCCAGCAATTCGCACTCCAACACGACTGCTCCCCGCCGCCGCACGCAGCAAGCCGTCTGCCCTGGGGCCTAGACCGAACATGGCAGATGGTTCGACTAACCAACGCGGACGCAGACGTAATGGAAACCGTCTTCCAGCCGGGGTTCGCGCGCTTCGGCTGGACCTTCTCGTCGACGGGCCTGCTGGGTGAGCGGCATTTATTCACGGCAGACCCAGCCAACGCGCGCGCGATGTTCTCGACACAGTTCGATGACTTCCTAGCTGGCGCGGACCGGATTGATAATGTCGGGTTCGTGGTCGGGCGGTGCATATTCACTGTCGACGGGCCGTTTTGGGAGCGCTCGCGTGCCTTGTTCCGGCCGCATTTTGCGCGGGCTGAGATCAATGACCTCGAGGCGACCGAGCGGGCTGTAAGGGATTTGTTTCTCGCTGTCGACGCGGCGGGCGATGATGATGAGGATGCGCGCTGGACGCAGGTTATCGATTTGCAGAAGTTGTTTCTGCGGTTCACGCTCGACACGGGGACGGAGTTCTTCTTTGGTGCCAACGTCAAGTCGCAACTTGCTGCCATCCCCGGTAACAAGAACGCGGAAATAGCCTTGGACGAGACGACGCGGCTCGCGGCTGATAGTGCAGGCGACGACGGGCTGACCTTTACCGAGGCCTACTCGCTGGCCTTCAAGGAGATCGCCCGACGCGCAAGGCTGTCGAACCTGTCCTGGCTGGCTGACTTCTTCCCCAGCGACGGGCCGCGGGCGGTGCGGTACCTGGAACGCTTTATCGACCGGCTGGTGGAAGATGCGCAGCTGCAGAACAAGTTGAACTTCAACAACTCAACCTCGGCTGAGACTGGCGAGAAGAAACCCAGTTTCCTGCAAGCCCTGGCGCAAACCACGCCCGACCCCATCGAAGTCCGCGACCAGGCACACTTCATGCTAGCCGCCAGCCGGGACACCACGGCCTCGCTGCTAAGCTGGCTATTCCTGCTCCTAGCCAAGCACCCAGAGCAACTCACTCGCCTCCGCGCCGCCATCACCGCCGACTTTGGCACCGACACCGACACCGTGACAAACATCACAGCGCAGGCACTCAAGAAGTGCACCTACCTCCAATGGGCCATGGCCGAGGCGCTGCGTCTACACCCACCAGCAGCACTCAACGGCCGCATCGCGGCGCGCGATACCACGCTACCCACCGGCGGCGGGCCTGACAGCACTCGGCCCGTCGCCATCCGTAAGGGCACGAAGGTCACTCTCGTGCCGTACGCCATGCACCGCCGGCGGGACCTCTTTGGCGACGACGCGGCGGAGTTCCGGCCCGAGCGGTGGGAGGGCAGGAAGGTGGATTGGGGGTATGTGCCCTTCTCTGGCGGGCCTAGGGCGTGTCTTGGGAGTGGGTTTCTTCCCCTTTTTTGTCACTTTTCTTTTCTCTCTCTTTGTTGTCTAAGTCAGATGAAATGAGATGTGCTGACTGATATCCAACGTAACGCAAAACAGAAGAGTACGCGCTCGCTGAGGCGGGATACCTGACCGTCCGGCTGCTGCAGCGCTACGATCGCGTCGAGCCCGTCGACGACCTGACTAGCATCCCGCAGAAGGTGACTGTTACGCTGCAGCCGTCTAAAGGGGTGAATGTGCGGTTGAGGAGGGCAGCGGTGTGAGTAACAGAATGGAGATTGTGGTAGTAACGAGGCGGGAATTATGAAAAATGTTGTCGTTTCCTCGTTAGGCTTTAGGTGTGATATATAAGACGGTATGAAAGGAGGCCCGTGGTTTTGATAGGTTTGGTGGTTTGAGTTTGACCTTGCTGTTAGTTATGGTGGCCGTCTATTGGTCTGCTGTTCGACCGATTGTTGAGCTGGCTGCTGTCGAAAGAGACAATGCGCTCCGAGTCTTTCGTTATTTTCAGGTCAATATTTCATAAAAGAGCAGAGGAAATACCACAACTATCAAATTGAGACATTGATTCGCTGCTTGTCTATTTGTCAGCTTTGAGTTTATGTTGAAATGGTACTACCAGGTGCTTGAGTCCAGGTATTAATGAACCGTGGTTTCTCCAGATTCAGATTCGTGCCATGAAGTTTGATGGCGTTATTCAAAGTAAGACTTTGTGTATAAATGCTAGTGACAACCATTAAATAACTCAGCGAGCATACACTAGAATCACCCACAACGACCAAAATAACACCGCCCTAAGTAGGTACTTACTTGTCACGGTGGATCTGACCAGACTGAAGTGGAGTATTCTGGTGCGGATTCCTGTGGGCTCCAGTCCAGCCCTTCCTCTGCAGACTTACCGAGCGCTGACTCTATCAAAACAACAGCCATCGTAGTATAGTGGTCAGTACTTCCGCTTGTGGATTCCAGAGACTTGAAAAATCCCTCAATACACGAATTCGCGGACAACATTGGTTCGATTCCAGTCGATGGCATTCGCATTTATTTTTGCCCTCTGCCGCACTATGTGCATGGACGCAGGTTTGTTCCCGACAGACACAAGTATCGAAGAAGGAGATCACTGCACCTGGCTCTTTTCCCCCCTATTATCTGACCATCTTGATCTGAACAAATAGGAAAGAACTTTCCTTCATACAAGTCAATTAGGACAGGATATACCTGAATCTACAGTATCAATTCTTGTATCATCTCACACACCCATCTTCCAACCATTCTCAGACTCAACTAACCACCACTCCTTGTCAATAAAACGGAATATTGAACCCAAACAGCCCCAACGGGTCCCAGGTGCGTTTGAGCTCCCGCAGTCGTCCCAGCTTGCGGCTCCCGTACAGCGGGACTGGGCCCTCGTCGCCGTGCCCGTAGTTGACGTACGTCTGGACACCACCGAACCCGCTCGTGGCAGCGAACTGCCTCCGCGCGTTGGTGGCGAAGGCATCGAGGTCCGGCAGCTGCGAGCCGTTGGTGTATCCATAGTTGAAGAGCCTAGCACATACACCCCAAAGGGAGATTGTCAGTCAGCTTCTAGTTAACAGTCGCTGCTAGTGCATCGATCAAGACAAAAACATGGGCAAGGGAAGACAGTCCATACAAATGCGCATTAATATCCCGATGCGGATACGCCGTCGCACCATCGGGTACAGCGCGCACTGCCTGCGTGGGGAAAGCCTCGATAAAAAAGACAGACTCGCGGAATTCTGGACGGGTGGCAAAGAGCGCGGTGAGGTTAGCGATATGGCTCTCCATCGTTGGTGCATCGATGGTCCGCAGGCCCAGCCCGTAGACGTCGCGCTTGGCGTTGCGTGTACACGGGCCCGTGTCGCCGCTCATGCCGAAGAAGGAGGCGCTCAGCAGGTCCTTGTAGGCGACCATGCCAATGCTCTGCCTCGACGGCCCGGCGGCGATGAGCGGTTGGATTAGAGGCATGCCGAGGGCTTGGGGGCCGTGGTAGACTGCGTTGACTACGAGGTATTGCTGTGAATAGGGGGTGAGTTACTAACTAAACAAACAATGCACAGGTTTGTGAAAGGGGGGAAAGGACTTACCCCGCCAAGTGCCTGCTGATACCCCGTCTGGAGAATCAAGGCCAGCTCAGCCGGCAGCGTGGCCTGCATCGAGTGGAAGTACTGCACCACCTGGGCCGTGTTGTTCAGCGGGAACAGGAAATCGGCGTTCATGGCCTGCCCGCCGTTGGTGTAGTTGTAGACCCGGAAGGTGGCCGACGTGACGATGCCGTAGTTAAACCCGGCGCCGCGGACGCCCCAGAAGAGGTCGCTGTTCTGCGTCCGCGAGGCCGTCACGAGCCGGCCTGTGCCAGTGACCATGCGCACGCTCAGCAGCGAGTCGACGATCAGCCCGTGCAGTCCGTTGAGTCGGCCGACTCCGCCGCCTAGGGCGGCGCCCAGGAGACCTACGCAGCTCGCTGAGCCGGTTGCTGTGTGGTCACTTGTCAACTGATGTATTTAGAGCAAGAGGTGAACAGGATACATACGCATCTCCTTGCCGGCATTGTACAGGGGGGCGAACAGGTCGCCCATGACCACGGCGCCGCCCACCGTCATGGTGTTGGCCGCGGCGTCGATCGAGATGTTGTTGAACCCGCTTAGGTCAATCTCGAGCCCGTTCCGCAGCCTGCCGAACGTGGTGGCGAACCCATGGCCGCCGCCTGTCGCCAGGAAGGGGATCCTGCGCTGGGCGGCGTATGCTACCTGTTGTTTATCAAGACACGGACCGACGGTTAACACAAGGTACATACACTTGACGCATGGAAGGCTTACAATTTTCTGCACGTCGCTTTCCAGGGCTGGCTTGACAGACTGCAAATACGTCGGCGCATCGTGCGACGTGTACCTCTGCGTGGTCTCGGTCTGGAAGTTGGGATCCGTGCTGCTGAAGATCCGGGTGCCTGGTGACAGGTGGAGGTTGTTGAGTGACCAGGCTTGCCGCGGCGGGATCTGATGAGCGCCGGCGGCAGCCAGGGCCAGCGATGATATCAACAGTTGTGAGAGCTTCATGACTGGCAGTGGCGAGGACAATGACCGTGACCCAGGATCTCGCCGTTGGGAGACTGGAGATCACTCAACTTATGACATGAGATGTGAAGATCGTTGTGACTTTAGAAGGCTTCCCTCTGGAAAGTGATTTCAAATCCTCGGGCCACTGGCACTTTCGATCCGCGGAGAGAATCAGTCCTTGGATTCGGTAGCTCTCGGAGTTTGTGTCGATTGGTTCAATCTAGGTTCCGAGTCCCGTGCAACTCTCGGCCGGCACCAAAACAGGACCTGGAGCACATGGCTTGTCCAATATTGAGCGAGCGGCCATTGCCAAAGAGCTGTTAGTCGGAGTCGCGGGATCTCGGTCGTGGAAGCCTTCCGTCTCGGCTCAAGTTGGCAGCACGTAAAGTGGGAAGCTGCCTGGATTACTTACGGCCGGGTGACTCGCGACATGGGGGATGGTTGGAAAGGGGGGAGATCGGATCTTCAGGTGTCGAGATCTGCCACACTATTGATTGTCTGAGACAACTGTCACTTGCAACGATGCCGATATGGTAATCAAACTGTAGGTTCAATGTTGTTGTTTATCTTTTCTGCACCGGAAAATAATCGTGCCGGTTTCTTCAATGGTGATAGTGTGAAAGTGCACGCTCCGCGGTCGCAGTGTGTGACTGATTGCCTTGATCAATGTTGATGTGATCGGTAATTACCTACTTCTCGTACTAGATTCGGAATTGCACCCCAGCCGCCCGAGCAAGTGAGAATAATCATAATATGCTGGTCGATACTGCCGATTGTAGACAAAAGCAATTCTCCGGCAGTGCCCAAATCGATACTAGGGTATGACATCTGAGACATGAGACAGCATGTCGATCAGGAACTTGCTCTATCACATGTAAGCGAGAGGGACAAAACTACACACGGGGACGTAGTTATTGACACATGAAGACATCTTGATAGCAATCGACACTAATCAGGGTACCACGTATCTCGGTAGGTACCCGTGCCATCCCATCCGCATGTGGGTGGAAAGGGTGGTCATGTCGTGGGTTGAAGTTCAAGTAAAGCATTGCTTAAAGGAATCGAACAGGGGCAACAGAATAAACACAAGGAATTTCCTTATGTAGAAGGGGCCATATCCGTGTTGGTCGAGCTAGGTTCCATATGCCCCTTCTTGCATTGCTATCTTCATAGCAAGTACGAACACGAATTTCCAACGCCCAAGATCTATATGTTCAATGTTCTATAATCTACCAAGTTGAATTTTTACATCAGCCTTCTCTCATGATGATATGCTACAGATATGCAAAAAGACCCGCTGCCAAACGACCGTCAACCACGCTCGCTAGGCTCACAGCTCAAACACAACAAACATCCTCACCTCTTCTGCCGCAGCAGACAATGGCGACCCCATTTCCGTTTAAATCTCTCTGGGATGACATCCCACTCAGGGACCCACAGCGCCCTGGCCAAAAACGGCGTGCTGGCGGCATCCAAGAACGGCACACACAGGACCTCCTGCCATCGCTCGGTGTCTGCGACGTAGTCGGGTTCGTTGGGCGGCACCTTCCACGATAGATCCTTCTGCTGCTCGGGGAACTGCGTGTCAACGAGGAACGAGCACGCCCGCAGCTCGACGTACTTGCCGGCGTCCTCCTCGTTGCGGTCGTTCAGCCCGATGGTGGGCAGCCAGGTGCCACTCCAGAATCCGAAGCCGGTGCGCGCCTCGGAGAACTCGCCGGGAAGCAGGCCGCGGAACTCGGAGCGGATGAACTTGGCGTGCATGTCATTCGGCAGGAAGTATGAGCTCGGGAACCGGTACCAGTCCTTCCCGAAGCAGACGTTCTCGCCGCGGCCGCCGACCTCGACGAGCGGTGCGTAGATGGCGAGCGGGGCCGAGTAGCCCGAGTACAGGCCCCAGATGCGGACGAGCCCAACGTCGATAGAGAGCATCAGACCAGCCGCGACGATGAAGAGCTTAAGCTTGGCGGGGATCTTGCCGATCAGCGTCTTTGGGCTGGCGTTGCCAAAGAAGGAGAGCAGGGTGTGCAGGGCCAGCGCTGCGTTGAGAGCGAGGAAGGGGTAGGCTGGGTACATGAACCGTTCCTCCTTGTGTGGCTGGAGCGTGAAGATGGCGAGCCACAGGTAGAAGGGCGATAGGAATACCACTGTCCGCAGACCGGACTGGAAGGTCTCGAAAGATTTGGAAAACAGCTTCTGGATAATGAACAGGGGCAGGGATAGCAGTGCGAGAACGAACCAAACATTGAAGTTCAACGCCAGGTTCTTAAAGTAAAAGTCCCAGGGCTCGGTGCCGTAGAGCTCGGGGCCTCCGGTTGACGAGAATATGTTGTACTTGACTATGTTCCAAGAGACAACCTCAATCTTCTTGTAGAAGAAGGTATTGAGAACAAAGTCGAAAAACTGGGAAATTTAGTACTCGTTCTGAATAATTAGGGACTGGGAGAGGGATTCGACATACGATCAAGAGAAGCGTCGCTACAACACCACGACCCACGCGAACGAAAGCCTCGAAGAAGCGCTGTCCGTCGCTGAACATGGCAAAGAAGCACTCCTCCAGCACGAACGGGGCGCAGAGGGCGAGAGCGAACGGCCACCCAAAGACGCCGCCCACGGCAAACCAGAACATGCCCTGCGATGTCTTCAGTCCGCCGCGCCAGTTCATGAAGGCGGCGGCGCCCAGCATGCCCATGTACATGGCGAAACTCGACGGAAGGAAGGCGGTACTCGAGTGGAAGTTGCCCGGGCTGAAGACGAGGGCTAGGATGAAGAAGATGCCCACGCGCGGGTTGAGCGCCAGGCAGGTGGCCCGCCACATCAGGGTCTGGCACATGGCGCACACGGCGGCGAGGACGTAGCGGACGAAGTAGAACTCGCCGACCTTGGACGTCCAGGGGAGGAGCCTTCGGAGGTTGCTAGGGACTGCATGTAGCGCGATGTAAAGCCAGCTGCGAATGGCA